AAAAAAAAAAAGGCCATCATGAGCCATTTGTGAAAAGCCATCAAGGCGAGCGACCGGTCACGTGCCGGTCATTAACTTTGTTGTACTTTAAAGCTCTTGACGTGTATAAATACACACCGCGATGCGCTTCTGACGCAAACTCAGTGCGATCTTTTGTGCAACTGGCGCAATGCAAAGAAGAGCGGAAGTCCACAGCTGGGACTGCTTCGACATGTGGCGAGACTACATGAACCTGAACAGGCTGGTGGAGCAGATCTGTGGCCGGCAGGAGGAGGAGGAGGAGCAGGAGGAGGAGATGAAGCCGGGAGCGCAGAGGAGCCCCATCTGGACCTCATCCAAGCCTCGGAGAGACTCGGAGAACTCCACGGGGAGCAGCTCGAGCAGCAGCAGCGGGACTCCTGCAGACTACTGCTGCTTCTGCAGACAGAACGGAGAGACCCCCCGGGTCTTCAGGTCCCACTCGCTCAGAGGCAAGAACGGGATGGTCCTGTGCCCGGTCCTCCGGAAGTACACCTGTCCCATCTGCGAGGCCACCGGGGACCAGGCTCACACCCGCAGGTACTGTCCCCAAGCCAAGCGGCCGGAGGCCGAGAGGAAGCGACCGGTCCTCAAGTTCTGGTAACAGAGGCCGGACTCAGGAACATAACTGTTACAGTTCAAAGACAAAACAACAGAAGACAGATAGTTTTCCTGCAGATGTTGGGATGTTCCTGCAGAAGGGAAAAAGCAGTTCACATCTGCTTCCTGTTGGACTTGATGCGTTTCTGATCTGCTGTCTTATTTCAAAACTTATAGTTGTGTGTAAAAAAGAAAACATGATTTAAAAAGAGTCCATTTGTGACAAGTGTTTTATTTTTTTTCATAATGAGTTCAGAAACATGAAGAATTGCAGCTTGTTCTGTTAATAAACAGTTTGAAAAAAGATGGCTTCTGTTTAAACCATGTATTTATTTTTATTTTAGTAATTTAAAACATATAAAAACAACAATTCAAAATCCAAGATACATTAAATGATGAAAAAGAGAGAAGAAAGAAATCAGATCACATTTGTCCCTTATTTTCAAAGAATACATTTAAAACAGTGGTTCCCAAACTTTTTATCTTCTGACCCACAAAATATTACGGAAGAATATATATTACGTATATATATATATATATATATATAT